CGCGGCCGCGGGCTCCGACGTGACCGGACGCGGCGTGGCCGTGGGGCTGGGCGCGGCCCCGCGGGGTCAGCTCCCTCCTGCCCCGGCTGCCCTCCCCAGGGTCGGGCGTCCCACCCGGGGCCCCGGCTTCGCCCTCCCCCTTCGCCAGCCCTCGCCTCCTCCGGGCGCCCCCGGAGGGCCGGGAAGCCGGTGGAGGGGGGGGGGGGCGAGGGGCGCCCCGGCGGCACTCACCATGCAGGCTGCCTGCACCGCCTCCGAGATGGTGCCGGCGTCGGGCTCGCACCAGAAGGCCGCGCACTGGAAGCGTCGCCCCGTGTCCACGATGAGCGCGAAGGTGTGGGCGTCCCGGCCCACCCCCAGGAAGGTCACGTAGCGCACCTGGCACTCCCAGATGTGCGCCGCCTCCTCCTCCTCGTCCTCCTGCGGGGACCCCGTGGGCCCATCCACCCCTGGCTGCGGCCCAGGCGGCCCCGCCACCCCCGCCAGGTCCCCTCTGCCGGGAGGCCGGGCCCCCCACGGGGGGGGCCTGTCCCACCGCGGCAGCAGCGGGGTGCCCGCTTCGGCCAGAGCCCCCTGTCCCCCTCCCCACCTGCGCGGGGTGCACCCTCATGGCCGTGTCGGACACACGGATGAGGGAGGGCGTCCAGCGCTCCCGCCCGGGGCCCCTCGTCAGCTTCTCAATGGCCTCGTTCAGTACGTCCATCCCTGGGGAGCAGGAGACCCCGTCCCACCGGCCCCTGCCCCAGCTGCGGGCCCGGTGCAGGCAGGGTGCTGCCAGCCGGCCCCACGGGCTGTTCGGCTGCCCCACGGCGCAGGGTTTTCGGGCATCCCCCAGCTGAGGCGGGGCCGGCAGCACTTACCCATGGCCCTGGGCACAGGCAGGCTGCCGATGTACAGCGCCTCGTAAGTCTGCATCGACTGCCTCACCGCTTCCAGGATATCCACTGCCGGAACAGGAGAGGTGGGGAGGACCCCCTCACGTGCCCCGCCACGTTTACCCCCACCACGTCCTTCCCCCCCCCGCCCCCATCTCCGAGGACCCCGGGGACACAGCTGGGCAGGCCAAAGGGTGCTGGCTGCTGGGCATCCTGCTGCCCGAGGGTGGACCGTGGGCAGGGGAAGCAGCCGGCAGCACCAGGGGGACGGTACCTTGCAGCGGCAGGTCCTCGGTGGACACGGGCTCCAGCATGGCAGCGTGTGGCAGTCCGCTGCTCGCTATGGCTCGCTCAGCCACAATCTGCAAGAGACGGGGGTCCCAGTGCCTCCCCTTGCCCCTGAGACTCCTGGGCTGTGCCCACACCCTCCAGGGCCCCTGCATCCCACCTTGGAGCACATCTCGTGCAGGGCCTTGGCGATGCCCTTGGCAGGCACGTTGCAGTGGAAGACGTGACACTTTAGGACACAGGTGTCCTTGTCACTGGCCACGAAGGCAAAGTCTCTGCAAGGCCACGAGCAACAGAGTGAGACCCTGGCTGAGGCAGCCCCCCATCTCTGTGCTGACCCTTGGTCCCACACCCCCTTACCTGTCCCTGCAGCCACGGTGGCAGTCGGGGAGGGAGGAGAGGGGACAGGTTACTGCTGGGGTGCCTTCGCCCCTCAGCGGGCAGAGCCACCCCCCAGCCCCCAGCTCTGCCCCGGCCCCCGGCACCTGCCGTTGTTGCAGCCAACGCCCCAGACGCGGATGTTGAGGATGGGTTGGCGGTGGATGAGGCTGCGGTCGAGGGGGTCCACCAGGCTCATGGTGTCCTTCTTCAGGATCATCACCAGGTCCTGGCCCTGCAGAGGGTTAGCGGCTCCCTCAGCCTAGCAGACGGCCTGGGCGTCCCCAGCATCCAGCCCACATGTAGGGACACCCTGGTCCCCCCAGCCTACTCAGCCCTGAGTGTGGTGACAGCCCACCCAGGCACTCCTGGCGCTGTCTCCAAGGGGAGACACCCTGCCGCACAGCTGGGACCACTGCATGGATGCCCTATGCAGAGTTGACTCTGCCACAGGATCTGGTCCCTGCCCTCCCCCCCAGGCACGGTCCACATCGGCGGGGACAGCCAGCCTCAGCAGCAGTGGCCCTGGGTTGGGACCCTGCCTGGCAGCACCATCCCAGGCTCTCACCTCACCCCGGTTCTCCACAGAGCCCTGGCTCTTGCTGTTGGAGAGCTGCTGGATGCAGTTGTTCACGGCGATGCTGCTCTTGCCGGGTGCCAGGTCCTCCTCAGGGATCTCCAGCCAGCCCAGAGAGCGCACGGCAAAGCACTGAGCAGAGACATACGGGGTTTTGGTGCCCAGATAGCACAGCCACCCCCATCCCATGCCCCTCGCTGTGCCACTGTGGTCACCCTTGCTCTTGCTCCCACCCCTGTCCCTGCCAGCTGCTGCCTGCCCCCTCCTCTGCCAGCACCAGCCCACGCCGCCGCAGTGAAGCCCCTGGGTGCGGTACCTTGGATCCAGGCTCTGCGCTGTGCTGAAAGTCATCTGCGTGCCAGGGCAGCGAGGTCCTGTGGAGGGATGGGGTGGTGAGGGGATGGCTTCCACTCAGCAGCATGGACCTGGGCCACCCAGGGAAGCGCCACCAGCAGACCCCCATGCCACCAGCTGGGAAGCATCCCATGGAGGTGACCAGCATGGTCCTGCTGGCTTCAACATGTGGGGCTGCTCTGGTGGGGGGCACTGGGGGCCCAGCACCCAGCAGTGGTCAAGGGTCAACGGTGCCCCACAAGCCAGCACACGGACAGCCCTACCTCCGGGACAGCGAAGCCATGGGGCTGGGAATGGGCCTGTCCTTTGCCGCGTGGTTGGCCGCGAGGGTCTGGCAGTCCTGGGAGAGAAGAGGAAAGGGGTGAGGGCAGCAGAGAGGCTGACAGGAGGCACCAGGTAGGACCCTTGCCTTCCAGGACAGCAGTGCCTCAGCTTGCGGGCATCCCATGTAGCCAGGAGGAGGCCAGCGTGGGGCCTGTTGGAGCCTTTCAAGGAGCTTAACCCTGGCCAGGAATGGGCTGAGCAGGACTTTGGGGTGACAGAGACAGGCCAGATCCAAGGGGAGGCTGGACCAACGATGCCCAGAGGGTCCTTCAGCAGGCTCCTGCCAGCGGGCTGGGATCCAATACCAGCCCCCCCCCGCCCACATCCCCTACCATTCCCTGGAGTGTCTCCTCTCCATCAGTCTCCGTGTGCCCTCCTGGGCCGGTGCTGGTGCTTGTGGGGTGCTGCCACTGCGTTGTGCCAGTTGGCACATGCCAGTAGTAGGTGCCCAGAGAGTCACGGATTTTCCTCCAGCCTGGGGGGAGGTCGGGGTCTGTCTCCAGGCTCTGGTCGCTCCAGAGGTTGTCTGTGCAGATGGAAAGTGTGAGACAAGGGGCGGGGTAAAGGTCCCCCCAGCCGCAGGGCGCCCTGAGAAGCGAGCAGCTTCACCCATCAGCGAAAGGGTCCTGCGGTTGCCTCTGGGTGCGCGGCTGGGCATGCGGCCCAGGAGAGAAGCACGGGGCTAGGGAAGGCTTGGCGAGAGGCCAGAGAGGCTGCGGTAGTGGCGGACCCCAGGCGGGTGATCAGTGTGGGCAGCTGCCTCATTGCTGCCCGGAGGGGTAGGGTGGCCCCGGCGGGGGCACGAGAGTACGGGCAGCCTGAGCCTGCCAAGGAAGGCATCCTGCTGCGTGCCCCAGGCAGGGCCCGGGGCTGCCAGCCCA